CTTAGGATGCATCCAGAAAGCACTCTAGTCAAATTCAATTCAATTCAGTTTAGTTCAGTTTTATTTATATAGTGCCAAATCACAACAATAGTTGCCTGAAGGCGCTTTATATTGTAAGATAAAGACTCTACAATAATACAAGAACAACAGAGAAAACCCCAACAATCATATGACCCCCTATAAGCAAGCACTTTGGTGTAAGTTGGAAGGAAATCTCCCATCTTCAGCTCCCATTACAGGATTGGGGAGACACTCGAGTTATTCCTTCTGCCACTTGACTCCATCCACAGGCTGTGCTACACTGTGATAAAGTGATAAAGACCCTACTTCTTGAACATGGTGTTCGTTATGGCCATCTCTCACCAGTCCAAGCCCTCTTCACAGGAAATAGTTTCCAGAGCCTGAGCTTCATGTTGAGGTGAGCCTGATTATATTCAGCTCTGACTCCTTCCCCAACAGGAGTTCCACGAACCACAAGCCAGATTCAGGAACCCAGGGACTGGTAGAACCTGGAACTATGGCCACAGCCCGATCCACTCCGGTAACCCTGTCCCAGGCAGGCTACACTAGACTGTTTTTGTTGTGCCTTGATTTTTCTGTGAGATTTTGAATTCAGCGCTGAATGAGTTATTATTACTCCCATATGCTAGTGTGCAAAGCAAAGCTATACGAGGCGCAAGGTGGCACAAGTCATTGCTGGACACCATGAAGATTGTTGACGGTTATTTATTGATATTTTTTAAGTTTGGGCGTGGTTAGTTTGAGGAAAAGCTCGTGGCTTGTGTGACAAGATCTTTGTTTTTACACCCGGGGAAAGAAAAACATGACACTGAACCTCCAGGTCTATTACATGCTGTAGAGGGATAACAGCCTGATTAGTTAAATTCAGTTTTATGTATGGCAGGAGTTAATAACAGCGGTTTTCCCATGGTGCTTAAACATTACAGATCCATTTATTCAAATGACAAGCAAGAGTTACCTTTACCGAGCTCGCCTGTGGGACATTTGGCCCAGTCTGAAGCACAATTATAGTTGTAATAACAACTGTTAATAGCTATTTAATGTGCTAATAACATTCAATAGTGGCTGAATGTGAATACTTCTTTCAGGGCTGCACATTTTCACTAACTTGGTAAAGCAATTATTTAATTTAGCTTCTGGATCTTTCGCTTTCCTTTTTGCATTCTCTTTCTCTCTTCCTGTCTTGCCTGTCTTTTCCTTTCTGTCTGTCGTCTCTCAGATTACAGTGAATGTGGCTCAGGGGCGAGTGCAGAGCCCCTCCCCTCAGCCTCGCTATAAAAGCTATGCCTACACCCAGGCTGCATATGTCCAGTCGCCCGAGCAAAAGAGGAGGCGTTTTACTGATCAGGTCCGTGTCTCACACTAACACTTGATGCCAGTTCCCCGTCTGTCTCTGCATGTGTGGTTTTTGTCCTGTCTGCTCCCCAGCATGTGTCCCTTTCTTTAAAATGCTGTTTGTTTTTGTGATGTTTTAAAAATGCATTAAACATGTGAATTCTACTTTTGAAATTTTAACCCAGTGTACAGTTTTGCAGTGTGTTTACGTTTTCAATGCAAATCATGATTTGAAATGCATTGACTTTTCTCATCAGTGTTAATTTCAATCATTTATAAATCAAGTCATAAGCTATACTAATGTGTGTTTGTGTATTCACTTTAAATCAGTAGTGATACAGCTCGCAGTTCTTTGGCAGCGTGCTGTAGATGAACAGCGGTTGACTTTACTTAACTTTGAAAATGTTGGCAGTCAAGAGGAATATATACAAAACAAGAGAAAGGTGCACAATAGAGAACAAGTTGTTCTTAGAAGTAGTGCAAAGGAAAAGGATTAGGTTTGAATAGAGTCCATGGTCGTGTCCAAATTCATGGGCTGCATCCTCCTGAGGACCCGGCCTTCGCGGTCTACGTGGGCCGGGTCCTCAGAAGGTCGGGTAGGCCGGAAGTAAATGGCTGTGAAATTGGACGTTCTAGCCTTCAGATTAGCGTCACCTCTGTCTCGGTCGAGTTTAATAAACTCAGCCGTCTGCTCCTTGCTATCTAAAATATAACAGGACACTGGCGTAAA